TAAAACGGAGCAAATTATCAGGTCTGAATACGACCTTATTCTTCTGTTTTCTTTTCTGAGTCTTCCTTTCTTCCTTCATCTTGTAATTTGCTGAGAAAGTTTAACCTTAACGGTCTGCACAAGCCTGGCGATGTAATTCTGRGAGGACTTTTCGAAGTCCACTACAGTTCTGTCTTCACAGAGCAAACATTCACCTCAGCACCACATCAGACCAGTTGTCAGGGGTAAGTCTCCTGTAGGTAAAAGACAGCAGATTACACTCTAAGGGATGTTAGTAACATTATTGATTATTAGCTTCGACACTCTAGGATTCAGACATGCCATGACCATGGCCTTTGCTATTGAYGAGATTAACAAAAACCCCAATTTGTTACCTAATGTGACTCTGGGATACAGTCTTTATGACAATTGTGCTACACTGGGTGTCRGGTTCAGTGCTGCRTTGTCAATGGCCAGTGGTCAAGAGGAGCAGTTTTTACTTCAGAAAAACTGTTCAGGAACCCCTCCAGTTGTGGAAATTATCGGCGATCCATTTTCCACTTTTTCTRTTGCTGCTTCAGAWGTTCTTGGTCWATACAAGCTGCCTTTTGTGAGKTTTTTATTTTTTCAAAAATATTTAATGTGGTGCATTAGACCATCTATCAGTTGCCAGAATATGTGAGAAATRCTTTCACTTATTGAACAATGTGCACAATATGTTTTTATAGGTGAGATATTTTGCCACTTGTTCTTGCCTGAGTGATTGGCAGCGATTTCCATCCTTCTTCAGAACAATCCCGAGTGATGCTTTCCAGGTAAATTTAACAGCACAATCTTTATGCATAATGCAATAACTCAAATATTCCATTTGCAACTGAGTAAATTTTGTTTGCACTTTGGCTTTATATGTATTTTGGTAAATAAGCTTTGCAAAAGAAAAAAATCCTTTAAGTTACCGCTTCACCTGTTCACGCAGGTGTGTGCCATGATTCAAATTCTAAAACACTTTGGCTGGACTTGGGACATCTGTTCAGTGATGATGACTATGGTCTCCATGTTTCCAGATTCTTCCAAACTGACTTGACTCAGTCAGGCAGGGGCTGTCTGACCTACACAGAGATTTTGCCCTGGGGCAATCAGCCCAACGAATATCAGAGGATTGTGAATGTGATGAGAAAATCCACATCACGTGTAGTAATTGTGTTTGCACACCAGA